TCGAAAACGGAATATCGTAAGGCGCAGTGTGTTGTTCCCGCCGTAGTGACTGGTGGCGGTTTCTGTGTTGTTGCTGAAATTGCAGCGTGCCTTCCCCGGCCAACACCCGGCCCCCCTCCCACTGTCCCCTCCAAACCTCTCATCTCATCTCATCTCATCTCATCTCATCTCCCACCTCTTCTCCCACCTCTTCTCTCCCACCTCATCTCCCTTCATTATCATCTTCATCATCCATCTCAAACTCTTCCTCTCGCTCTGTTTACCATCAGCATCGAGACAAGCTCTCGGTCTACCGTATCGGGCCCCCTTTCCCCCTTTATTCATCTCTAAGACCTTCATTCCTCCAGCTTCAGTTTGCAGTTCTTTCGTTTATCACTGTTGTTTCTATAGCATCCCTTTCTTCTACTCCCACCATTTGTTTCGTTGATTTCCAACCCCGTCTGTTTTCTCTTTTTAACCCTTCTTCATTTTCGTCTGTTGTTTGTTGTCCCCTGGGCCCCTGCACCCACGGCCTCTTCTGGGTTTCTCCTCCGGATCCAAAGGGCTTGTTTAGGTGCAGTATTCTACCTACTTTTTAAATCTCGTGCCTGAAACGATCTACCTGTTGTTTTTCTCGCTTTGTGTTCGCTAACATGGATATCTTGGAGAAGCTCGGTATTCTCGCCGCAAAACCTGGTCTCAACGGGACGATTTCTACCCTAACAAATCAGGTAAGTGTTATTTGATATACTATTGAGATTGCTGGTTTCGTTCGTTCGTTCTAGCCCTACTCTTTCGTTTTATGAAGTTGGGTCTACCGTTTATTTAATCCAACTTCTAACCCTGCCTCTCGCCTGGGCCATTGGCTCAATATAAATCTTTTGTCATTCTTTCTGCCTTTGGAAACATGTATGGGATTGAGGCCCACGACGAGACTCGAGAACTTTTTGCCTTTTAGGTCACCCACTCACTGACCCCTAATATATTCTAATTTTATAGCAAACCAATCTTGGGGATATGCAAACCCAGACTCAACAGCAACATCATTCTGGTGAAGCTGGCCCTGCCCACGGACGGAACTCGGTTTACAATCAAGAACATCAGAACCGTTTCTATCAGCAGGTCTCTCAGCCTAACGGCGTGAATGGAAACATGAGGGATTCCAACGTTCAAGCTATAACCCATGCAGTTGGTGGCTTGAACTTACATAACCAGCGTTATGCTGGCAAGTTTGCCTCTTTCAAGGGAAATATCCATGCTTCCCACGGTGCAAATGGCGATATGTCTGGCATGCAACGTCAATACAATGGGCAATACTTGATAGTGCCTAATGGAAGTATGTTTGGTGGTGTACCCGCTGCAAATCAGTATGGACAACGCCACATTCAGGCTACTGACCAGCATAATTCAGTGCCATATTTACCTGCGGGATTATACCCGAACTTCGTGACTGCTCCACCAGTCGTTCCTGGCTCTGTGGCAGGGTATACCTGGCCTTATGCTCTGAACGGCGAGGCTCCCGAACTCACTGGCCATCGTCGGGATTCTTGGTCCTCTATCGAGGAAAATCACCCGTGTACTCCAGGGGTTGATCAAGCTGGACAGCAAGAGTGTTACCCTGCAGTTGCACCCATGGATCGTCCTCCAATGCTCTACAATTATGGCACTCCATCTCCATCAATGGTACCTGCTCAACCATATCTCCCGCTCCAAATGATGAAGGGTGCCAGCGGCTATGTTCTGCAGGACCTCGATGCGTTGACGCAACAGGATCCTTCCATTCCTCGTGCAGTGCCTGCCATGTGGACCAACCCCTCGGATCTTACTCTAGCCAAGTGTTTGGAGAACAGAGAGGGTATCACCAATGTTTATATTCGGGGGTTTTTACCTGAAACTACTGATGAGATGTTACATGCTTACGCATCTCGGTTTGGAAAAATTGACCGTTGCAAGGCAATTGTTGACCTTGAAACCGGCCTTTGCAAAGGGTCCGTATTATTTTGAGCATTGCTTCCGTTCATGGGGTAATTTGCTGATCCCTCACTTGCCTAGATTCGGGTTTGTTCAGTTTTTCAGCTTTGATGCCTGCGAGAACTGTATTCGAGGTTTTTTTCACCTAGGCTATCAGGCTAGCTTTGCTCAGGTATTTACGCTTGAAACTACTCAAACGCATCTGTCTGAGCCAAAAGAAGAACTGACATTCCATAGAAATCTCGTAATTCTCGACTTAAGGATCTTGAAGATAAGAGTTCTACTAACATATATTGCACCAACGTTCCCATCGATTGGGTTGAAGCGGTTAGATTTCATATATCTCTTGTCACATCATGTTTCTTTGAAATATTTCCTAATGAGCTCTTAGGATCTGCGTCGCCATTTTCAACCGTATCAAGTTGTCTCCGAGAAAATCAGCCGCGATGAGAAAACCGGCGTCAGTAAGGAGGTTGGATTTGCGAGGTTAGCTACATCGTCTTCTACACCGATGATATATATATATATATATATATATATATTGTGGGCGCTAACTTGCGGTATGTTCTGAAGGTTCGAGTCTCGCGAAATTGCGGAAAAAGTATTATCTGAGTTCCACAACGTCACAGCTAAAGATGGGGTTAAGCTTCTCCTCCGCTTTGCAGACACGAAAGCGCAGAAACAGCTGAAATTGCAGAGTAACGAACCTCGTAGCGTATCGTGCTGGTGAATACAACTATTCAGTCGAATTGGGAA